TAAAGAGTTCGTTTGGGAAACTTACACAGGCGGTTTTACCTGGTCTTATAGGGTAGCTATGAGCCAGTGTGGCCTTTGTTGAAGTGGTTTTTAAGATGTACGGATACAGGGTTACACACGGTTCACAGGTCCCAGCCTTGTTGCTTGAGAGACAAGATGGTAAGATTAGATGACCTGAGAGTAGAGCCTACCTTCTTCTTAGTGTTTATCCTTATAGTAATGAACTCACTACATATTTGTCTTTTTGGTGTGTGAGTGAGTAATTTCACACAGAGCAATGGCCTCCAGGTCCATCCACGTCAGGAGGCATTTCATGGTTTCATCGCTGTTTCTCAGGGATGCATGGTATTGCCTCGTGTGTATGGGCCAGAGTTTCTCTACCCATTCTGCAGATGGGCCTTTGGGCCATTTCCATCTTCCTGCTATTGTGAACTGTGCTGCAATGGACGTATGAGAGCATACATCTGTTCGTGTTCTGTGTCCTACTCCCTTGGGGTGAAAGCCCAGCAAAAGCATTGCTGGCCGGCACCGTATTTCCACTTTCAGTTGTTTTAGGTCGTGCCATATCACTTGCCACAATGGTTGGAGATAATTATAAACCAAGACTGAGATTTTTAAATGAAGCTAAATACATTTTAGTTATAGAAATCTTAACTTCTACCAAACCTCACACTTTTTGTTTAGAATAAAAAGATTAGCCACATCTAAAGGTCACAATTTTCCTCAAATTTGGAAGATAAATCTGGCTTAGGAAATTATGCTGCTAATTCTATGACAGTGTTATATAATCCTTAGCAAAAATAATTCAAGACCACAAAATACAATGCGATTTCTATAGTAAAATATTTTTCTTACTCTGTAATAACAATGATGAGTATTTTCTGACTCCTATAGGGATATGTAGGAGCATTGGTGGCATAGTAGTGAAGAATTGGGCTACAGTCTGCAAGGTCAGTAGTTCAAAACAACCAGTCATCCTTGCTAGAGAGACAGGGCTTTCCACTCCCTTAAAGAGTTAGTTTCGGAAACCCACAGGGGCAGCTCTATCCTGTCCTGTGGGGTCTGTCCTATCAGGTCACTTTGAGTCAGTATCACTCAGCGGCAGTGTGTTTGGTTTGGATAGGGAGGTACATTTGTATTTGTGCATGTGATTATCTATATTGCTGGTAAAAATGTAAGCTCCTTGAAGCCAGAGACCATTTCTCATATTCCTGTTTTTCTCTTTCAGTGATTAACTTAGTATCACATTTTAAATAGCTATCAAATTAAAACTCAATTAGCATAAAAAATTCCAGAGTCATTGGTAGTATGGATAGATCACAATTGCACACAACACAGATTGTAAGAGCTACATGGGAAAGGAAAGAGTAAATATTCCAAAAATTGTAAAAAAAAAACCATCATCATGACTTGTGTGTAGCCTGGGTGGTCCGGAGTCTCATGTAACCACAGTTGCTGGAGCCTGGCAGGGAACTGACGGCAATCAGGGTAGGAGGCCCATATGGGGCCACACCTGGAGGCAGACATAGATTCTTAGTGAAACTCAGCGAACAGGAAGGTGAAGTTTTGGTGCAAGAGTTCTTCAGTTCATCTTATGCAAAGGCCATACCCCCACGGAGGTGTCTTCAAGCCACGAGTGGATGGCCAGGTTTGAATTCCATCCCTACCATTGAGTTGACATGATATCTAACTACCACAACTGGCCTCTAGCGTATCAGTTCCAAAACTTATTTGGCCTACTCCCCTTTCACTGGGAAAAAAACTGAATTACTCAGAGGGCCCCAGCAAATAAAAACTTTGGTACCACAGTCCATAATCCAAGATAAAGTAAAGGTAACTACTTTTTCAGCACCCCCCTCCCTCCACCCCTTGGGGCAGTATCACCCACTTTGGGAAATACTGCTTTAAAGCAAAGAAATCTAAAGGGAAAACGGTAAAAGAGATCATTAGGTAAATATGGTGATATTAAATGGAACTTTATAGGTTAGAGTAACAGTCAGGCTTTATTCTGTCTGGTCACAAAGTCATAGGAGGCTTTGAGAAATAGGAGCTGATTTCAAAATATGACTTCTCTGGTACATGGAGATCAAGACTTGGTCTCTTACTGGAAACATCAAGGCTTTGATGAAGAATGTAAAAATGACAAAGAAGTGAAATGTGATTGGAATCGAAGTGCATTTTAAAGGTAATGTTAACAGGACTTGCTCATGTGAATTGTGGGAACACCAGGATGAAGAGGGGCGTGGTTTCTGAGATGAAACAGACTGGATGAGAAATCAAATCAAGGAGTCAAGGATCATAAAAAATAAGAATCAAGAATTTCATTTTAGACATGTTGAATATGAGATATCTTTTAAATATGCCAATTAAAATGATAAATAGCTGATTGGACACAGAGTTCTGAAGCTCAGGGGAGAGATTTAGATGGGAAATGTAAGTCATCAACATAGAGGAGAACTGGTGGCATAGTAGGTTCCGCCTTGGGTGCTAACCACCAGGTCAGCAGTTCAAGCCCATCAGCCACTGGATGACAGAAAGATGAAGCTTTCTGTTCCTGTAAAGATTTACAGCTTTGGAAACTCCAAGGACTTGTACTCTCTCCTATAGGATCAGTAGGAATAGGGATCAACTCAAGGGCAGTGAATTGAGTTAAGCAATTTAGAAATGGCGCTTAGAACTGAAGAATGATGAAAACTTCCCAGGAAGAGAGTGAACTTAGAACTGAAGGGTGGTGAAAATTACCCAGGAAGAGAGTGAACTTAGAACTGAAGGGTGGTGAAAATTACCCAGGAAGAGAGTGAACTTAGAACTGAAGAGTGGTGGAAACTTCCCAGGAAGAGAGTGAACTTAGAACTGAAGGGTGGTGA